TCTCACTCAGCCTTATAACCTGAATCTCTCACTCTCTGCTCTTTGAATTGAGAAAGCTCCTCGGATGAGGAGCGAAACGTCTTCTGTTACAAATAATGTCCAGTTGTTTTTGTATTGAACGTTTTTTGAACTTACAGAATAGTAAACATCGGTACTGTGACGTTTTTCAGTAGTTTGTTGGTGTTTTTACATTTGGTTATGATTTTCTGTAATTATAAATTATGAATGTTCAGTAGATCTCAACAAATTCCTAATCGCTTAAGTTTTAATATAAATGACACCATAAATCTGAGATAATGTGTATAACTAGCCATTATGATCTTAAATCCTGTGATGGCTGTGGCTCAGTGGTTAAAGCAGTCGTCCTCTGAGAGATGGAGGTTTGATTCCACCAGTTTGTAGTCACGTCAGTGTCCTTGGACTAGACATTGACCATCATTGTATAAATGGGACCTGAAGCACTGCATATTCTCTAGAATGATTTATTTATGTAAATGTAAGAGTGCTACATGAATGTGTGGATGAGTAAATAATGACACAGATTGTTGTAAGTAGCTTGATTAGCTATACAAATACAGTCTATTTAAAACTTTACCAAATTTACAAACAGAAAAAAAAAACCTTCAACTTTCAGTTGTTGTTTTTTTTTTAAATTTTTATATATACTAAAAACTTACTTGAAGACTTGTTGAAAACTTGACTTTTAACTACGCAAGTCACCAGTTTACATTCTGGACATATTTCGTTATTGACTGTGTAATGCTCGCAATAATAACACAAACATGTTTACAAACCTTTACGGTTGTTCCTCCAAAGATTTGATCAGAAATATGAAACGCTCTAATAGTTTACAAGTTATATGAAGCTAGTTGACAGTACAGAATTTAAGATGACTATCTTTTTTTCTTTAGTTAAATATTGTTTCTACTGCTAATAAAAAAATATTTATATAATATTATATATTTTTTGCTTGTTTGTGAGTGGAAAAGTTTAAATGTTTGTGAAAATAAGCTGGTGGTTAAAGCTACATTAAACTGAATGTTTGTGTTCAGGTGTAAGAACATGGAGGTGCCTATAGAAAAAATCTACAATAAAACCCAACGGGACAAGTTTGCCTGGGCCATCGACATGACGGAAGCAGACTTTGAGTTCTAAATCTCAACTCGTGAAATTCCAGACCCATTAATTGATACCAACATGCAATTAAAGGAACCTTTTACTTTATAGTACTTTATGAACTGAACATATTAGAAATGCAATATTAGACAGAAGTTTAACTATAATGATGTAATCAAGCTTAACTATTGTTTACTGCTGTTCTTTTATTTTTATTTTCTTTGAGCTATTACCCAGTATGTTGGAAAAGTTTGTGTGTCTTGTTTACATTAATTTCAATAAAAGTTCCTACTTGGCAGTAAAGTGAAGATGTGATCAAAATCTTGTTAAAACACAATCGTTGTAGATATAGTTGTTGGAAGTCTAATTCCGTGCACATTGTTGATAACATATTTTCTTTTTCAACTTAACTTGTGATTTCAATATGACCATCAGTACAGGCCACGAATCATGCAACCCTCAAACATTTCTGATAGTCCTAAACTTCCAAACATTTCTTTAACTGTTTAAGCCAGACTTACAGGATTTTATAAGCTGCAGCTCAGACTTTCTCTAGGCTTCGATTAGTCTTTAAAATCAGAGTCTGTTTGATCAACACTGTATACAAAGTACCTTTTTGGGAATCACTTTAGGATAAAAATACTTATTTATAAGCTGGTGACTTTATGCCTATGACTTGCTGTGGAATTTGTATAAATTAAAACTAAATACATGGAAATAAATTAGACAAGCTGCTGACTGCAGCATCAGAAGATCCAATTTGAACTTGGTTCAATGTGCAATGGTTTGAACACGTTTATGAATTTCAGGAAAGCCAGTATAATTTCTCAATGGCTCTCGAAAAATAGTTACTGGCAAGCAAAACAAAAAAAAAGAGGTGGTTAAAGACTTGTGCACTGTACAGTGAATAGTCAGTTCTGGCTTGTGAAATAAATAAAATAAAAACATTGAACACATTAATTGTTTTGCCAGCAACAAACAAAATATTTTGCAATAGAGTACAAACTGCGGTATATGAGATAGCTTTAATAGAGTATCAGAAGTGGAATGCATATCGCACCAATTTGTCAAACACAGCCGTTAGGTGTGTCACACTGGTAGTGAGATTCTATTGGCCTGTTGGCCAACTGGTTTGAATTCTCAGCAGAGGCTGGGTCAAAACAGACCTGTACCATCACATCAAGAAACCATCTGATACAATTAAACGACAGCAGCTAAAAAAAACTGCATTCCTCTAAAGTTCTAAAGGGCATATCACTAGCTCACAAAGGACGTTCAATGTTCCAAGTCATAACGTTACTGTAACCATTTCACAATATAGAAAAACATTTCACAAAACACAGCAAGTCAATAGAAGTCATTTTCTGTTAAAAATCCTGCTCCTGGATACGGGGCCCAATTTAACACCTTGTTGGTTATGAACCTGTAGGACAGGACGGGAAAAAGGGCAAAAAACAGTTCATGAGCATTTGACCTGCATTTTGAAGCATATACAAGCAGTGAATTATTTTAACATGCCAACCTTTCTTCCACTCTTACCTTCATTATGATCCTTGACCTTCTTTAGCTTTTTCTGGTGTTGCCTCAATCTCTTCAACACCAGCCTGGGTCATCAGGTCAGCAATGTTCTTCTCTAGGTCATCGATACGCGTGCTCATCTCATCAAGTACATAATAGGTTAAGGAACACACAAGTCTGAAAACTCAAAATTTCCCAACACTTCTGCAGAAGAAAGTACCAGTATTTTTGGTTACAAATAAAGTAATGTGTATCAAAAGAACACCCATTGACTATAATATAAGGATATTTCTCCCAATTATCTGGTCTGACATGGTCTGGAACTTGCCCTGCATCTGCTGCAGGAGAGTCTGGACCTGTGGGGAAAAACGTTAGTTGGTCCATTAAAGATTCAATACACATCAAAATGTTACTTTTGTTTGTTTTTTGGATGTTAAACATCTTATCCAAGTATATTTAAAGGCCAGAAAAGGATCAGCTTCTTTTTCATGCTAACTGTGGCAAAATATTGGTAACCATGGAGATATGTTTTGAACTCTGAGTTTAAGAGCATGTGTGGTGTACAGTGAAAGCAGAAAATCACCCACACATTCATACCATTACAAAATTGCTGCTCTTTAAAAGCAGCTCTTGGTGTGTTATTCAACTTAAATGCCTCAACTTGGACTCATCTCCATGGCAACAGTGACAATACTTAAGACGACGGTCTATTAAAGCCTAATTGTGCGAGTTAACACATAATGGACCCTGAAAAATATATATTTACACACGGTCGATCAAATGTATAGCTAATTTCAATAAACGTTTAAAAAAGTGAAATGCGGTTGGAACGATAGCGTTTGCATGACCGATTGAATATAATGAAGCTAAATAAATGTCAGAGCAGTTTTGAGTCTGTCAAAATAAGATCAGTACACGTGTCTAACTTTAATGTAACTTAAATATGTGTAACAAATACCACAAGAATAAGATGAATAAACTTTGTGACTTAGCAACTGTAGCTAGCTGTGTAGCTAGTAGCACTAGCTTAAATCACGGTCACGACTTACCACATTGGTAAGATCCTGCACCGACTTGGGGTCCGTCTCGGCCATGTCGTGATGTCAGTGATAATTATTACTTTCACAGTAATGAAAAATATCAACTATTATATAACTACTGCTTGCTGTTTGATCTGAAACTGCTCGAAAACCACTACCACGTATCGCCCAGTCAGCAGCTGTTCCACAACAAACGAACGAAATCTCGCGAGAGTTGCATCACTGCTACGATTTGTGGGAGTTGAAGTTTCGGGTGAAGAACGTACAGTATTACTGTAGTTTGAGCTTGCTTTTTAAAACTCGTTTATTCACTGGTGTTTATTACTTCAGAAAAATATGAAAAATTTTAACATGAAATTTAAAGAATCGAAGACTTGCACTGAAATCCAAAACGTACGCGCGTGCGAACATCTGCGCGCGCACGTTTCCCTTCCTCTGAGCGAGCTGGGATTTGAAACTTGGAGCTGCCAGAGGATCTCAGTGTGTTTTCACCTCCAATGTGCACAAAAAAAAAAGCGAATGAAGGCGACCGGTGAGTACAGCTGGAGATTGGTAAACAAAAACAAGCAAACAATGTTTTGACGAATGTTGCAGGTTAAATTCTGCTTTTTTTTAAAAGTCCTTGGAGATCAGAAAAGAATTCATAATCTGATCCGACGGTATGAGCATAACTTAACCAGAGTATTTCACAGACTTTTAACAACTCGGTTCAGTGAATTATGCCTAACAAAAGATAAATTATATTATCTTTTTATAGCAGCGTTTCTTTTTTTGTGTAGTAACACAAGCCCAGAAGTCAGAAATTGATGCAGTCGTGTTATTAAAGCTCAAGCATGTTGGCCCAACCCCATTAAACTATGCTTTCCTTACATAACCAGACTTGTCTCTCGCCCAGTACTTTTAGGTTACTGCTTTCCTCTCACCTCCAATAATAACCCAGTTAGAAATTACACGCATGCCTGTTTGTAATCCCCTGTGCATCTGAGCCATGCACTCCTAGAGCAATGGCATTTGGTCTACTGAGATTAAATAACATAGTTTATATTATACATTCAGAGTTTATAATATTTCATGTTGACGTTGTGCACCAGTAACACATGCATCAGCTGCTTTGTTCACAGTCAAGTTCCAGACAGAGAACCTGTTGGTGAGGTCTTTGTTGTGACAGAACCACTTCTTACTGTTGTGATTTTCTGCTCACTGCCAGTTATTTGTTAACTGACCCCATTATGGAAAATCAGTGGAGGAGCAAAGGAGGACCTGCATGTCTTACAATTCTGTTTTTTTTTTTTTTTCCAGTGAAAAAAGTAATATTTAACTATTGCCATGCAAAACTTAAATGCAGCAGTTTCACAGTACCCTAAGGCCCATACTTCTCAAGTTTGCTTAGATTATGTAGGTCAGGATCACGTGTACACAGCAACAGTGTTGCATCAACATGCCTTTTTTGTTCCTAATGAGCTGGAGTTAAACTTCTTACTGTGCTTGAGGAAAAAAACAGTTTACTGTTAAAACAAAAAAACAGAAATTAGAGCCTCGACTGTCACCTCAGCTTCAAAAAAACATTATGACGGACTTTGTAAAACTGTGGGACAAGCCTATAGCTGAGAGCAGCATCACATCCGCTGAAGTTTCTGTTCTTTCTCACAACAAAATGCAACTGAAATCAGTTTCTGCACCGTTGTTGCACGTTTTGTTGCAACCGAGTCCTACACACCTCACTGGTGCTGCTTAAAAAGCTTCAGTTTACACAGAGGTTCATAAAATATTCTCCACTAAACATTTGAAGCCAATGTTGTGATTTGGTTGAGCCACTGATATTCTGCTTTTTAGCTTCATATCGCACTTAAGCATATGCTGGTTAATAAGCTTGTTATTTAACTTGTAAGTAGTTGATACCAGCAAGATCTAAGTACCACTGGTACTTGTACTTGTACTTGTACCACAGTTTGAAAACCGTAGATCTAAAGTATTGAATTAGCTGATCTGTTTGGATTTTGTTCAAAATGTTTAGATGAAGAATCGGAGAAAACACAAAAGTCAGTTATTAGGAGGAGGAGCTGACTTGCTGTAAGACTTATCTGTAAACTGTGGTAGTTATTACTCATCTGTCCCACCCAGAAGACCCTCACACCCATCTATGTCTGTGTTCACCTAGCAGCTTAATCTTTCATATTCTCTGCCATTTATAGCATTACTTTTTTTTAATCTTTAACCTTAATTTTCAATTTGGTGTTCTATTTCTGCTGTGGGACTAAATATAATAGTTTTGATATGTTATGGGGTGGCTGTTGCTGAGTGGTTAGAGCAGTCGTCCTCCAGTGAAGAATTGGAGGTTCGATTCCACCAGCAGTCACATGTCGAAGTGTCTCTGGGCAAAACACTGAACCCCTCATTACCTCCAATGTGTGTCCCATCAGTGTCTGAATGTGATAAAGCTCTGATTAGTCTTTGTAGTAGAGTGCTGTATGAATGGGTAAATGATTGTGTTGTAAAGTGCTTTGAGTGTCTTGATAAGACAGAAAGATGCTATATAAATACAGTCCATTTACCATTTATGTTTAAAATTTGCCATCTCACGTGAAGCAAATACACTTTGAGAGTTCAAATTTATAATTAAAAGTGTGTGCTATTGTGTAAAAGCTTACTAATTACGGTACATTACGTAGGTATTTAATCTCCAGGTCTAAGCTATTTTTTTTTTCGTGTTACAAGAGGCATTTAAAGTGGTTGATGTTCAACAGTTTAGATCAGAGTTGTTCTTTTTTTTTTGTCGTTTATTCCTTTATTTAGAAATTAAGAAATCATAAAATACTCACATTTATGCAGTTTTACTATTAAGAAAAGGTTGAAAAAAACCACATCACAGATAAAAAAAATATATAATTGCAGCAGTTTGGTGGGCAGTTGTAGATCAGTGAGAATGATAAGTTTTTACGTTTAATAAATGCAGGGCTTCACAATTTTCCCTGTTTTTTTAGAACAATATGCCAACAACAAGCTTGTTTTTTTTAAACAACAACATGCTGCTTATTTGGACAACATTCTCATTTTCTTTCACTTCCTCATATTTTTTTCATTTTATTTGTATTTAAGTTTTTTTAATACTTTCCAAGGTATTTATTGTAATTCTTGTAAAAAAAAAAAAAAAAAAAAAAAAATCATCACGTTTACGTGTTGGAAAATGCTACTTTCAAATCATTTTGGGACTTTTAGCTGTTTCTTGACTACCCTAACTGTTGCACGGTGCTTTTCAGTTTCCTAGATGCCCCCAGAAGTCCCCCTGGACCCCCCTAAGATTTTGTGCTGTGATGGATGGAGTCGAAGTCCTGCAAAAGGAGGACATGGAGGGCTCATGGACGCTGCTGTCCTTGGTGGCGTCCCTCCTCATGGTGTTTGGGGGGTCCCTGCCGTATGTCCCGCAGTATCAGGAGATCCAAAGAATTAGCAACACGGAGGGCTTCTCCACCAGAGTCTGCCTGGTGCTGCTTATCGCCAACATCCTGCGCATATTTTTCTGGTAAGGTTGTTTCGGCGTCCCAGCAACTCTGGAAATCAGGAACAAACCTGGAAAACTTTATTTTTCAGACAAGGAAAACTCAGAATTAGAACTAATCTGATTAAAATATCTTTCTGAGGTTTTAATGTGTACTTGTATTAATGCTAGTGTACTAGTACTGAATCCATGTTCTGCTTCTACATTGTACATAATATGTATTCTTACTGATGGTGTCTTTTTAATATCTGATGTTATACAAATTACCGTATTTTTCGGACTATAAGGCGCACTTAAAATCCTTTAATTTTCTCAAAAATCAACATTGAGCCTTATAGTCAGGTGCGCCGTATGTATTAATGTTGGTTGCGCTTACTGACCTCGAACTGATTTTATTTGGTACACGGCGCTCAAAAATCTGTCAAAATGTTTTAGTTTCACTTAATGCGCCGGTGTACCTTTTAGTCCAAAAAATACGGTAATTATTAGGAATGATTGTCTGATGCACGTACCAAAGGCTACAGTATGATTACTGTTGTCACCTAAGACCATAGGTTTTGATGTTTATGTGTTGAATTTCAGGATTTACGTATGAAAAAATCAGGAAAGACTCATGGATTATTATTTTTTCTATGAAATGCTGGGAACACTGTTATTATTTAAATAAGAAAAGTAAAAACTTGTTTAAAATAATAGCACACTTTTGTCTACTGTCTGGATTGTTTCCTCTCTTTCCTCGAACCTGTCCTCTCTCATGAATTCTGTTTCTGATCGTGTCGGGTTCACTCTCACAGGATAGGGAAGCAGTTTGAGCTGACCTTGCTGCTTCAGAGTGTGGTGATGATCTTGACCATGTTCGCCATGCTTCATCTGTGCTGCACGGTCCAAAACTCCAACCAAGTCAGCACCAAGCAGCATCGACTTTCAGGTAAGCACCTCCTGCCAAAAGCCCTTTGACCGGAACTGTCCTGACAGACTGCATGCACAGCTGAAGCGGGGACGTATTTGTAAAGTTTACACACCACTGGAGATTAATTCAAGACATCAAATCACATTTCTGTCTCTCAGATTCTCTCTGTCAGCAGTTTAAATGCAGAAGCCAAGCGCTTGTATTTTTTGCCAAAAGAGGGAGCCATTTGAAAAGCTTAACCATCAAACCTGCTGTTTTATAATCCCCTAATTTCTCTATATTAAATAGGTTTTTTTCAGTTACACATGCTTAGATGTGTGCTCATGAATTGGCTGCTTGTTTTTGGCTTATCAAAAGTGTAAAACAAATGGCCACAAAGAAAGTGAATAAATGTTTTTTTTTCTTTTTACTGCAAAATCACAAGCAAAAAGCAACAAGGTTTTAAAGTCCAACTAAGTCAAGTCAAATTTATGTATAAAGCACATTTAAAACAGCAGCTGTAACCAAAGTGCTTATCAGTAAGATCAAAAAGCATCAAAAATAAAACCATAAAAACACAAAAGCAATGAGAAAACAATGAAATACTAAATCAAACCACACTGTTAAACATTGGTGAACACACGTGTGTCTTTAGGAGAGATTTAAAAGCAGGAAGTGATGTGACCTGTCTGATGTTGGGGGGTAGATTGTTCCAAATTAGGGCCCACAACTAAAAAAAGCCCGATCTCCTCTGAGCTTCAACCTGGTTTATGGTACAACCAAAAGCCGCTGGTCAGATGATCTCAGCACCCGAGCAGGAAAATACAGTTGAAGTAGGTCCGAGAGGTATGAGTGTGCATTAGTGCACTTAAATGTCAACAGGAGACTTTTAAAATCAATTCTGACATGCACAGGGAGCCAGTGAAGGGAGGACAAAACTGGTGAAATGTATTCAAACCTACAAGTTCCTGTTAAGAGTCGAGCTGCAGATTTTTGGACGAGCAGGAGACGTGAAAGGGACACCTGACTGACCCCAACATAAAGCTCGCTACAGTAGTCCAGCCGGGTTGTAATAAATGCATGGAATCATTTTTCAAGGTCAGATCTGGTCAACACTGACTTAAGGTCAAGGTCAGTGTTTCTTTATTTCATTTGCATCACATGTGGTACATGTGGTGGAACAAAATTGTGTACACAGGGTCCCAATTACATCCAACAAGAGTATAAATTGTAAAGAAAAACAGTAATAAGATCTAAGATATGAACTAAGAAATACGCTAAACTAAGAATACACTAAACACTAATAGTCTAAAAATAATACACCGAACGACAGCAGCACAAACATGAGTTTGTGTGAGCAGATGAGGACGACTGAACACAGCAACATGAATTAAATCAGCAGCATGGACGGTCAGCAGCACATATCAATTTTAGCTATCTGTCTGAACTGGAAGAAGCTTTTTTTGTTTATCAAACTTAAAGTTAAGAGTCTAAAGCCATCCTGAGATTTGTAACAGACTGATAAGATACAGCTGAAGAGAGTCACGATTTACAGGATCATAGACAGCGGTAGAGCTAGGGATAAACACGACTTCATACTTCAAAGAAGCTAATAAAAGTCCACAGAAACCTTTAACAAAGTATGGATATTTTTAGTTGCAGATGTGTTGGAATCCAGGATGTAAGTCAAAGTCGTGTCATAATGAGTAAGTGCCTGAGAAATTGTTGCAGAATGTGGGAAGAGTTGAGATTAATCTGATCAATAACATTATTCATTGTTTATTCTGTGTGTGTGTGTGTGTGTGTGTGTGTGTGTGTGTGTGTGTGTGTGT